CTGCACCCCCTTCTGGGGCCTCCTATGATCCACTGCCTGCCCGAGGCCTCGCCACCACTGGCACCACCTCTACCACCACTACCACCACCTCTGAGGCAAGTGAAACCCCTAAAGGGCAGCAGGAGGCAGGCATGAACCCCACACCCCAGCCCAGTGAGTACTAAGGGCAGACCTTCCTGAAGAAGGGCCCAAGATGGCAGGAGGAAGGGGGGCCAGGAAGATGCACACTGGAAAAAAGGGTCTCTCTCTTTTTGACCTCTGAATTCTAACCCCCATCTCTGCAGCCTGTGGGGGCCTCCTTCCTGGACCAAGGGGCTTCTTCAGCAGCCCCAACTACCCAGACCCTTACCCACCCAATGCCCACTGCGTGTGGCACATCCAAGTGGCCACAGACCATGCAATACAGCTCAAGATCGAAGCTCTCAGCTTGGAGAGTGTGGCCTCCTGTCTTTTTGATCGCTTGGAAATCTCCCCTGAGCCTGAAGGCCCCCTCCTCAGGTGGGTCCCATTGTCCCCAGGAGGTCCCACTCCTGTCCCAAACCACTATCTGGAGGGCAGAGCCAGGGAGCTGCAGTGGGAAAGGCCTGACTGGGAGGAAATTGAGAGATCTGACCTCTGAGTCTGGCTCTGCTACCACCTTGCTGTATGACTTTGGGAAAGTCACTTCCTCTCTCTGACCATGGTTTCCAAAACTGTAAAATGGAGCCCCAACCTCCTTCCCCATGAATAAATGCTGCAGGGATGGATGTGCAGGTGCTAGGAAGGTCAGAGCTCCCTGGGAAATGAAAGGAGGTTTTTTGACCATATTGTCACAAGTTCAGGGTTTAAGGAAGGAGGACAACAGGGCCCAGGCAGGCTCTATTCTGGCTGGCCCTGTGTTCTGAGCCTCCATCACCCCCAATCTGGCTTCTTGCAGAGTGTGTGGGAGAGTGCCTCCCCCAACACTCAACACCAATGCCAGCCACCTCCAAGTGGCCTTCGTCTCTGACAGTAGTGTGGAAGGATTTGGTTTCCATGCCTGGTACCAGGCAGTGGCTCCTGGGCATGGTGAGTGTTTTCCAACCGTGTCCCCAGCTACCTGTCAATGGTCCACTTCTCTCCCCTCCGGCCACTCCCAGCACTGTCAAAAGAGGTAGAGACTCTGACTTGTTTCTTAATCCAGATGTCCCCTGCCCCCTGCCCCAGGGAGCTGTGCCCATGATGAGTTCTCCTGTGACCAGCTCATCTGCCTGCTACCTGACTCAGTGTGTGATGGTTTTGCCAACTGTGCTGACAGCAGTGACGAGACCAACTGCAGTGCCCAGTTCGCAGGTATGGGTCCCACCAGCCCTGGGGGGCGAGGGGGACTGACTTCAGGCATCTGATCCAGCTTCAGGCTGGGTTCCCCAGTTCTGGCTCAGCCCCAAACCTGCCTAGTGATTCTTCTGGCCCAGAACTTGTTTCCCTATGAGCATGGCCAAAACTCTCCTCTGCAATCACTGCCAGCCCTGTTGGGCAAAGGTACAGACCCTGGCCAACTCATGAGCCCATTCTTCTCTCTACAGGATGTGGAGGGAACCTGACTGGGCTCCAAGGCACTTTCTCTGCTCCTGGCTACCTGCAGGAGTATTTTCACCAACAGGTAACCCAGTACTCCATGAGGATGGCAGTGTGGCATCCACGTGTTAGTGTGATTGGAAACAGCATAGTAGACACTGCCTTATACTTGAGAAGGTCAGAGATCAAGCAGGCAGGAAGGAAACATTAGTAAGTGCCTACTACATACCAAGATGTTCCCGTGCTCGGTGAACTGATCTGAGACCAGACAAGTTAAAATGCCCTTCCTGTATGAAAAAGTGCCTATGATGAGAGCTAGGTGGGCAGTGCCCACCCACTCCCTGCCTAGCCTGCAACAGGGAGGAAGCCCTTCTGGTGCTCAGCCTGGATGCCCAGAAGGAACTATGAATGACACCATCTGTGCCCTCCCACAGCTTTGCACCTGGCATATCTCAGTGCCTGCTGGACATGGCATAGAACTACAGTTCCACAACTTCAGCCTGGAAGCTCAGGATGAGTGCAAGTTTGACTACGTGGAGGTGTATGAGACCAGCAACTCAGGGGCCCTCAGCCTCCTGGGCAGGTATCCGGAGAACCTGCTGATCAACTCCATCCTCCACAATCTGACAGTAACGACTTCCTACAAATTAGCCCAACTTATTCCTTCGCTTCAGTTACTTCAAGCCAGAGGTCTCTTCACTTCATCCTAAAGAAGGCTTGTCCTTTCTTACCACAAAGCCTTTTCTCCTTATATCACCCTTCTCCAGGACACCCTTTCCCAGTCCCTCCTTCTCCCAGTTCTCCCACCAGCAGATCCATTTTCACTTCCCTCAGGAACACTACCTGATTTTTCCCATCTCAAAGTGGCTCGAGTTCAAGCAGTTTAATACTCTGTCTACTGAATATAAGTGTCTTCCTCACTAGACCCTAAGTTCCATGACACAGCGCCTGTGCCTCCCATCCCCCTCTGGCATTGCTCAGAGCGCCCAGCTCTGAGTGAGACCTGTGGGAGGCCTCAGTGCACGACCGCCTGCCAAGGGGCCCCACGCCCAGGACTGTTCTCTGCTTTGGGCAGGTTTTGCGGAGCAGAGCCGCCCCCTCGCCTCATCTCCTCATACCACCAACTGGCTGTGCTCTTTAGGACAGATCGTGGCATCAACAGCAGGGGTTTCTCAGCCACCTACCAAGCCCTCAATGCCACAGAGAGTAGGTGCCCTTGGGTGAATGGGTGTAGGCAGTAGAGGAGTCTCCAGGAAAACGAGGAAGGGCTCCAGACCCTGATCAGGGCACTGTGAAGGCAGTGGAGGGGGGTGAGGGGGGAAGGACAGGCATGTCCAGGGCACTGCCATCCCCCCTGTGCCTACAGACCCCTGTGGACCCAGAGAGTCCTCCTGCCGGGATGGAGGGTGTAAGAATCTGCAGTGGATGTGTGACACATGGAGAGACTGCACAAATAGCAGTGATGACAAGTGCAGCAGGCCCTTGTTCCCACCCCCAGGTGAGAAGCCTGCCTCAGGGACCCGTGGGCAGGGCCTGGCAGGCCTGAGCAGGCTGGGTGCCCATTCCCATCATATTTCATAACAGCTATCCCTATCCTCCCTGACGAGGGGGGTTCACTACCCTGATTCGTCAGAGTCCTGGTGGTGGCAATGGTACTTAGTGTCACTCCCAAGGTAAATGGGAATCTGGGAATGGATTGTTGAGCCTTCAAGTACCAGTCCAGCCTTGTCACACAGAGAGAGAGAGCTCCTCTCCATAGCCCACCTCAAAGATGAAGGTGAGATCAGGGGAGTTCTTTCTAGATGCTGAGTGGTCTCTGCCAATGCTGGTGCCTCATGCTCCCTGAGATCCAAGAGGTGCCTGTATGATGCCCAGGGCTGGTCAACAATGCTTGATGAAGGCTCTCGAGGATGACAGAATCCTCGACGTGTGTAAAGCATTTCTCCATTTTATCTCCTTTGATTCTCACAACAACCCCCTTCTGACCCATATATAGTGATTGATTGACTTGCCCCCAGTTACACAATGAGTGGTCCCCACAGTGATCCTCCCCTCCCACCCCTGCAGAGCTGGCCTGTGAGCCCATCCAAGTAGAGATGTGCATCGGGCTGAGCTACAATACTACGGCCTTTCCCAACATCTGGGTGGGCATGGCCACCCAGGAGGAAGTGGTGGAGATCCTCAGAAGTTACAAGGTGCTCTGAGCAGAGATAAGGAGGGACTGCCAGGAAGGGGAGGGCGCCTGAAGAGCAGGCGCCTGAGGGCTGATCTCCTTCCACAGAGCCTGACAAGTCTGCCCTGCTATCAGAACTTCCGGAGGCTCCTCTGCGGGCTGCTGGTGCCCCACTGCACCCCACTAGGCAGTGTCCTTCCCCCTTGTCGCTCCGTCTGCCAGGACGCAGAGCGTCAATGCCAGTCGGGCCTGGCATTACTGGGCACCCCTTGGCCCTTCAATTGCAACAGGCTGCCTGAGGCACTAGGCCTGGAAGCTTGTGCCCAGCCCTGACTCTGAAGTGGGCCCCTGCCCTCTCCCTGTGCATCCTCCCTTGCTAATCAGGGCAGGCAGGGGGACAAAAGAAGGGGGACCAGCATGGGATTCTGCCCATCCTCTCTGGGGCCTTCCAGGGAGGGGAGAAGTCCTCAATTGAGCTAATGAGACCCTCTCACTCTCCCAGCTCCTTCTCTGTCCCTTTATGGCCCCAGCAGCTGGCCTGTCTCCTCAATCTGGACTGCTTCCCACCCAAGCCTCTGACACCCATTTCCTATCTTCGGTCTTCCCCCTTTCCATCTGCATTTCCAGGTTCTTCATTACCCACTTTTTGACTTTTTCATTTATTCAATAAAGAGTTTTGAGTACCTAGAAATGTGGCAGGCCCAGTTCTAAGTCCTGGGGGGTCCATCTGCCTCTAGAACTCTCCAACCTCAGTTCTCAGCTTATATTTCTCCTGGGAGGGAGTCTTGTCCTTGGTCTCTGTCGCTGCACTCTCTCTCCTTCCAGCTCCCTGGAGCAGCTGGTGCCCCGAGTGTCGTCTCACGGTTCTGCCTCTGTGTGGGGCTCAAGTCTCTCTCCCCATCCTCCCTCTCCCAAAGTTTGGCCGGCCGCCGGGCGACACCACGAGTTATTTCCCTATTTCTCGTCCCGGAGTTCTTGGCCCCTGAACAACTGGTTTCCTCTTGGAGTCTGGGAGGAGCAGAGCGGAGCCTGCAGAGAACGAACCAGGGCCAGGGGGACCGCTAGGGAAGGTGGTGCCAGGCTGGAGAGCGGCGCAGGGGAGGGAGGAGGGGTCAACTGGAGGGTCCACAGTAGCAAGCGCCCCGAAGGAGGTCAAAGAAAGTGCAAGCGGCCGCGGGAGCCGGGAGGGGGGTGAGTCTGGTGGAGGAGGAATGGGGATGGGGGAGGGGACTGTGGGAAAAACTGGGCGCAGGCCGGGCTGGTGGGGGAGGGGCCGGCCTTCCCTTCGCTCTCCGTTTTCCTCTCAGAGTTCTCGGGTCTCGGGGCGCCCCATTATTTGTTCCTTCACGGCCGCTCAACCCCAGGGGCATGGCAGTGGGTTGGGGACCAACTCGGCCGCGCTGGGGTCGGGGGCGAGACAGGTCCCGGGATTCTGGAACCCGACTCCTGCCCTGCCTGGCCCACAGACTACGAAAAGATCCCGGCGTTCCAGCTCCCGGTGCCAGCGCAATGAGGCCGCTCCTCGCCCTGCTGCTCCTGGGCCTGGCGGCCGGCTCGCCCCCTCTGGACGACAACAAGATCCCCAGCCTATGCCCGGGGCACCCCGGCCTTCCAGGCACGCCAGGCCATCATGGCAGCCAGGGCCTGCCTGGCCGCGACGGCCGCGACGGCCGCGATGGCGTGCCTGGGGCTCCCGGAGAAAAAGGCGAGGGCGGGAGGCCGGGTAAGAAGGCCACAGGGACGTCGGAGCTGGCGCGGCCCCTGCTACAGCTCTGCGGGGCCCGAGGGCCGGTGGCTTGGGATTCCCGCCAGGGGGCGCCGCTCCCGTCCCGCCCATTCCCGCTCTGCCCCGGGAGGGGACAGGAGTGACTCAGCCGGCGGGGCCAGAACTCCTGGGGCCTTTTTTTACTAGCCCTGCAGGACACGGGGACGAGGTGGGGGGACCCTGGTGCACCTGGAAGCACTAGCCGGGGAGGTGGCGGCTGGGGAGTTAGAGAGGAGGGAGAGGCTTCTTAGTGTTGCTCCCGTCCCGCCCATTCCCGCTCTGCCCCGGGAGGGGACAGGAGTGACTCAGCCGGCGGGGCCAGAACTCCTGGGGCCTTTTTTTACTAGCCCTGCAGGACACGGGGACGAGGTGGGGGGACCCTGGTGCACCTGGAAGCACTAGCCGGGGAGGTGGCGGCTGGGGAGTTAGAGAGGAGGGAGAGGCTTCTTAGTGTTGCTCTCCGCGCACCCCGCTGCGGGCGGACCGGCTGCTACCATCCCCTGAACAGCCCCTTCCCCC